TCCTGGGCCGTCCTGGGGCCCTGAGGGCTCTAGGGCCGGGCCTTTCGAGGCCGTCGTGGGAGTCTCTCCCAGCGCCTCCTGAACCCTCTTAACGCCCTCTCAGGGCGTCCTGGCCCTCCCTTGGGATGGTTTGGGCCTCTCTTGTGCCGCCTGGGGGCCAGCTTGAGGCGCTCTCACGGCCCATTTGGGCCGTCGGCCCTTTGAGGCTGTCTTGGGGAGGACCTTGGGGGCCTCTTAGGCCGCCTCGGGAGCTTCCACGACGAATGGAGGTCATGCTAAAATCCCGGGAACACCATGCACAAATCAATGATGTCTGCCTTTCTGGAGCCTCTTGGGAGCTCTCTTGGACCGGTCCTCTTCCCCATGCAAGGCATCATGCTGTGAGTCCGCTGCATACACCCTGCGAAATGCTTAAGAAATCATGGGTTAAGAAATTCATGGTCTCAGAAATTGAATAAAACCCAGAACTTCTATCAACAAATCTTGGGATTTACATTGAAAAGTTAAGAATAATCGAGACTTTGGACGAAAACTTAGGTTTTCTTAAGCATCGCCTAAGGTGTACGCCGCGCCCGTGCCCCATTGCAGCGGGTGTCTCATCGCCAACGCGCCCGAAGGCACGGTGAGACACAGCAAGGCCATTGTGCCCCGTCGCCGTGCCTGCGGCCTCGGAGGCCGCCACGCTGTCGCAAAAGTGCAAAGTCCTCCTCCTCCTCCTCCTCCTCCTCCTTCCCCTCCTCCTCCCCCTCCTCCTCCTCCTCCTCCTCCTCCTCCTCCTCCTCCTCCTCCTCCTCCTCCTCCTGGGGAGATGCGGAGCGACACGGCGGCGATGTGACCCGTCGCCACTCGGCGGCAGGCCGCTGCAGCGGCCGACGGCGGGGGGGGCGCTGAGCTTCTGTAAGCACCTCGCCTCGTGGTGATCAAAGGCTCCGCTCTGGAGAACCCCTGCTTCTGCTATGGAGCGCAGGCCCAGCGTCCTGGGGCTGGGACGCCACGCGACGCCGCGTGCCTTCCAGCCCGCCTGGGAAAGTGACGCCCGTACTCCACGGAGGAGGTGTGGCTGGGCGAGGGGCTGCTGCAGCAGCGGCCGCGATTTGCCCCACATCGCTCCCTCCCCCCACCCTTCCCGACAGAAGGCAGGGCATCAGATCGACAGGAGCTTCTGCAGGCCGAGCGTCCAGGGACTGGAGAGCCATGCGACACCACGTGCCTTCCAGCCCGCCTGAGAACCATGGTGCCCGCACTCCACGGAGGAGGCATGGCTGGGCGAGGAGCCGCTGCAGCAGCGGCTACAGATCGACAAGACCTTCTGCCTCCTCTGTCGGGGAGACGTAAGACCCGGGTACGGGGGACTCGGAAATCCCCGACGAGGTCGTCAAACAAATGACGAGGCCGAGCCTGCATTTTGACGAGGCCTCCCGCTGCAGACATCCCACGAAACTCCTCCTCGTCAAAATCCGAGGCGCGGTCGTCAAAAAACGATGGCGAACCCGAGTCCTGGCAAACCCGGGTCTTACGCTCCCCCGACTCTGGCGCTGCTTCCTCAAAGATGGCCCCCCTGCGGGCGCAGGCGATATCCTCTAGCCTCACCGCAGTCCGTGGAGCAGGGCCTCGCCGCTGCCCCCGCCCTCTGCCACGTCCAGGCTCGTGGTGGCCTTCGCAAATTCTTCGCGGACGCCCAACCCCATGTGAGGCAGCTTGAGGCGAATACTCCAAATCCCTTATTAATCGACCCCCCCCTAAAAAACCAGACCCCCCTCCAAATGCGACCTAATATTCCGGACCCCCTCTTCGATGGGGCGCCTTCGTAAACCAGACCCCCTCAGCTCCAATCCAAAGAAAGCGACCTAATAAACCGGACCCCCTTAATGACCAACAAGGCACCATAAAAAACCGGACCCGGGGGACGATTAATAAGGGATTTGGAATACTGAATGCCTGCACGCCCAACCCGTGGCAAACATCATGATCATCAATATTATCCATCAGCATGCTGTCGGCATCCGTCGCCCGTGCCACAAAGTCATCATGATGGACGACCCACTGCATCAACGCTGCACCTTCGCCTGTAGCTCCACTGGGACTTTCGAACTCGGGTGAACACTGCCATACAGGCAAACTGGACAATGCAAGGTCGATGTGAGCAGTCATTTCCGCGCCCAAAGTTTCAGTCAATGTGCCAGAAGAAGGCTTCCTTAGACGCGGATCTAATTCTCTGGGATCCCAAGAAAATCGTTATGTCAAGCGGCGCCGATGGGTTGTCGCGAAGCACGGCCTCAAGCGGCGCCCGCAACTCTTCGGAATCTTCCTTGGCACCCACTATGTGGATCGGCTCCTCGCCTACATCAATACTCCGGGCGTGAAACAATTGAAACTTCACGGGCTTGCCCAACGTATCATTGAACGACACGTGAGCTGTGCTAATTTCAAATTCTGACCGCTCCCAACAGCCAATCAGACGTTCCTTCTCGGAAGCGCCGAAACCTAGATCAACGAAGGGGACAGCAACATCTATACCTTTGTGCAATCTGAGGAGCAGCGAAGCAAGGTGCACGAATGGCTTTGAAAGCCGAAGGTCTTTCGATACATGCACCACCGCGTCGCACACACTCGATAAGAGCACGCCCGCGGCGTGCTCGACATTTCGCGATGCCTTCGCTTCCATAGTTGCCAGCAGCTCACGATCGCGGGCCCTTGTGACAGATGCTGTTCGGGCGAAGATGACAAGAGACGCAACCAACTCCCGACGCGTGTTGGCATATTCATACCGCGGCGCGACGGCTGCGGCGTACGCAAGGCCCAACACAAGAATCAACGGAGGTCTGGCGTGACGAACTCCCACTGCGAAGCGAGCGCAGGCTCTCTGTGGGCCGGCTTTCCATCAGGCTGTGGTGTCCAAGGCAGTGGCCGCAAGGTACATGATGATAGTGTAGTGGCCTACGCGGGACGCTGTCACGACTCGAGGGATGCACCAACGCGGCTTGACAGTGCCTCCCATGAGGGATATCATCATCACCATGTTGGCGAGGCGAGCCAGTGTAGACATATCATGTTGCCGCATTTGGACTACGCTGAAGCAGAGGAATAGGCACAGTATCCTGGGACACACCCATGCGACTTGTTCTGCGAGCCGCTTGTTTGCCAGATCCTTCAAGTGACGATGCCACGGATGCGCTGGTGTCATGCGGAGTATCCACTTCAAGGCGGCATTGACATAATCAGAAAGTGCACCCCGTCGCGTCATGAAGGGCATCCGATCCATGACCGAGCGCCCGCCAGACAATGACAGCGAGCGTCAGGCTATTGAAGAGGCCTCCTGCAATATTCCAGCCACTCGTGTCCAGCATGCTCGGGGCTCAACGATCGACGCCTTCGTTTGAGATCGCTCTCCTGGTATACATCTTGGCTCACATTGCTGCGAAGCTCTCCCGGACAGCCGTTCGGTCGTTTCGGGGGCCTCCATGGCAATCTTGGCGCCTGTTTTTGGGTGTCGTCTTCGCATACTGGGCCGTCGTCGGAACATCTCGGGCCGCTCTGGGCGCCATCTTGCCGCACTCGGAGGCTATCCCGGCCCCCCCAAGTGGGGCACACCAATCGCCTGTAGGGGGGGCTGGCCTAGGTTGCACCAGCGATACTTGTGAGAGAGCAGACACCATTCGAAGCGCAGTTGCTACACAGTTGCACAGTCTACTGCGTCGAGCAATGACATGGACAATTGTTACACAGTTTTAGGGGGACAACAAACCTACCTCGCTTTTGACCACCCTCGCTTCCAAGAGATACCAAACGATGCCAAACTACGGCCTGCGCTTGTCAGGCCGCTTGACGAGGAGGCGCGTGGTATGACTTGGTTTTGCCTGGAAGCGAAAGCGGGGGAGGTAATTCACGCTCTGAAGTCTGCAACGTCGAACCATAGCATGGGAGGGATCAGACAGAACGGCCCCACTGTGACGAACGAGAAGCCGTCAACATACGCAAGTGCTGGGCACGATTGCGACGGCGGTGCGCAGCTCGACACGTCTTGAAGCCCCGCCACCCTCCCTCCGTGCAGCCTCTACAGGCTTGTACAAAGAAGCTGCGCGGCGCTAACGTGAGCGCCGCACTTTGAAAGCTACTCCAGATTTCGTAATAAAAGGGAGGGGGTCCAGACCCTCCAAGACAAGCCATTTCAGACCTCCCCCGTGGGAGAACCCTCCAAAACATCGTCCCCAGACACCCCAGGCCCTCCAAGATAGCATGGAAGAGACCCCCCCCGAAATGAGACCCCCCTCCCTTTATTACGAAATCTGGAGTACCCGACCGCTCTCCATCCCCGCAGCTGCTGTAAACTGTCAGTGCGCAGAGGCGCACCACGACGGCAAACGCCGCATTTTGACAGCGAGCCGCCGTCCATCCGTGGATCTGTGAGGAGCGTGATGCTGCAGTGCGAGCAAGAGTGAAGACGTCTGACGCGAGACGCCTAAGAAGCCCTACTGGCGCGAGCCTGGTGGTGCGAAGCTGGGGGGTTATTCAGCGGACCCTTTTGGGGGGGGCGATTCTTGGGTGGAGAGGGCGAGCGAGAACCAAATGGAGGAAATGAAATGGGAGGACCGTGGGCAGCAGCACGAATCTGTCGGAAACAGTCGCTCGCCTGGCGTATCGCTCGAATTACACATCCCCCGGGGACAGCCAGACGCGCATAATGAACAGCGTCTGAACTCGCTGGGCTTATGTTCCTGTGCAGGCGGAAAGAAGGGGGTACGGGTTTCTTCGCTGACAGTTGAAGGGGCTGCTCTGGGAGCCAAGGCGGGCGTCATACGAGTCTGTGGTTGTGCCTGGGAGTGGTGACGGTGGACATGCGGAACGCATTGAACTGGTCTGCAATGGAGGGTACTTTTGCAGGACTGTCTGAAGGCAGTCCGAGGGGGGCGAGGGGACGTGCGAGGGGACGCGCAAAGGGGCGCGTCCAAGACCCTCTTGGGGGTCTCTTCGAGCCGTGCTGGGATCATCTTGGGGCTCTCTGGGGCCGTCGTGGGCCGCCTTCTTCGGCCACCTCGGTTCCGTCTCGGGGCCGTCTTTGGCGCTATCTGGGCCCCATCTCGGGCTGGCAGCACGGAATGCATCGAACGGCCCCAGGACCTTCGAGGGTGAGATGATGGCCCCTCCGCCCTCATGACTTGCGCTCAACGGTGCGGGCGCGGAGGCGCCTTCATGACCAACACGCGGTCGCTGTCGAGGATGGTGTTGATGCGGTGTGCGATGGTGAACACCGTGGAGGAGAGAAAACTGGAGGAGGTCCACTCTGGGGCTGACGTGACGGGCGGTCGGCGTAGAGGGAACCATCGCACGCCGTGCGTCCCGCCCATCTTCTTGCTCTTCTGCCATTCTCCTCCTCCTCCTCCTCCTCCTCTCAATCGGCAGGCTCAGGACGTCTATCCAGGACACGCCAGAGGTTTTCAGATTTCAAGGGCGGAGTTTTCCCGAATACTTCCTGGTACACCGTCCTCCTCCACCCCCTGAAACGCCACCCAAACGGAAATCGAGAAGGGGGCGACGAACCCAAGGCAAAGGCCGAGGGCAGCAAGCGAGGGAGCGTCCGTGAGGGCGGGTGCCACCCCGCCCGCAAGCCCCCTGCGTGGGGGAGAGACGGTGCGGGAAGGGCCCGAACGTCCCCTGGCGTCAGTTTCCCCAGTCCTAGTGACCACAGCCAGGCTGAGCAGTTTCGAAGCCTCACAGCGTTGCTCCAGTAGGCGTCATCCCGAACTCGGCCCCAAGGCTCGATCGATCGATCCTCCTCTCAATGCCCTCGTGCACAGCGTAACCCCTGCCCGTCGCACAACAAAATGAGCCAGTAGGGTGGCTTGACAATCGACAACCCTGAAGCTTGAACATGCAACTAATTACACAATTGGATGGCAGGCTGCTTTCAAAGAACCGCTGTCGCGAAACATGCCCTTACATCCTATCAGCGCTACACTTGGAGTTTGGCAAATCTATACATAATGATGGCGAACAATCTTTCAACATTGGTGTGCCTGGCTCTTGATACCACCAGGCCGTACTATAGCATACATGCCAGAATCGAGAACGAACTTTCCAACCAAGCGCTTTGTTTGCCAGGCATGTCGTCACAATGTATGTCGGGATGTACTGTATCTCCACGCATTACACTTGTGGATGGCGATATCTTTCCACAATGGGGCCCTTGGGCGGTCTCCTGGGTCCTCTCGGCCTCTCGGGTTCGAGGCCTCGAAATGTGAGGACAGGAAGGGGGGGGGGCCACCGTGCCGCTCGTCCACGTGTGCCCCTCCTGGTGGCTTTCTGCCCATCCTGCCACTGTGCCTGGTTTGTTGGTGTGAGACCTCTTGAACGCCTGCTCTTGTCTCTGGGGGAGCATCCGGGAAGCGTCTTGGGGGCAGTTTTGAAGCCCTTGGGGCGCCTTTCGGGGGCCTATTTTGGGCCTGGTGGGTCCTCTTGTGGACTCCTTGGGGTCCTGCTGGCGGTCTTCGGGGTCCTCTTGGGGCCGAGGCTTCGACATGTCGGTCCGAATCTCCCCCTGTGGCCTCTCAGAGGGCCGTCTTGGGCGGTCCTGGGTGCCTCTTGGGCCGTCTTGGGGCCCTTCTGGCCGTCTCGGGGCCCTCTTGGTGACCCCTCGGGACGTATTGGGGCTCTCTTGGGGGTCTTTTGGGCCGTCTTGGACGCTGCGCAAATGCAAACAACGACTTTGTTAGAAATGTGACTTTGCCGAGCTGGAAAAACGAGATTGGCCCTCTTGTAGGTCCTATTTGAGCCGTCTTGGAGCGTCTCGGGGTCGGGGGCTTCTTGGGCTTTCTTGACGCCGTCTGGGGCCGTCCAGAAGCGACGTTGGCCCGTCTGGGACCTATTTGGATACCACCCGGAAGCTCCGGGGGGGGGGGGGGGCTGGGGAAACACCCGGAGGCCTCCGGAAGCTCCGGGGGGGGGGGGGGCTGGGGAAACTCCCGGAGGCCTCCGGGAGGCCCCGAGGGGGTAGAAGGGGACCTGGTGTACATGAACAGCCCCTGGTGTGCGGCGGCCCGGGAGACTCCAGGGCCAAGATTCTGGTAAATGGAAGATATACGTTGGTGTCTGCTATATGAGAGATATACATATGCAAAAGGGCGAAGGATATGTATATACATATATAACGAAACGCACTATAAATGTGTGTATATACATACGTGTTCACACACATGTCTATTATATATATATATATATGTATATGTACGTGTATATATATATATATATATATATATGTATATATACATACTGGGACCAACGCGCGCTTCGCGCGCGCTCAAGTTCTAGCTAGGCTTGATAGGCTAAATCATGTAATATCATTTCGGTCGCTTCTTGCGTCCAGGGGTTCCCTTGGAAGCCCTGCGCAAGCCTCGGAATCGTATAGAAGAGGAAATGCGGAAATGCAGAAATCATTAATGTCCTTTCTAGGTGTTCAACGATTTGGGGCCCTCAGAGCTTCCTGGGTTCTTTTTTGGGAGGTGAGGGGGGTCTGAATTGTGGTCTGTTGTGCAAGCGAAGACCAGGGGCCAAACTTGAAAAAATTAGGAATTGTGGGATTTCCATGTTTTTCCAGTTCCTCGGCGCTGTTCGGCGCTGTTTTTTGTTCGTGCCTAGCGGATGTTGTTAGCCGGGCCCCTCAGGGGTGTGGGATCGTCTAGACCCCCTGGGGTCTCTGGAGGCCTCCTGGAGGCCTGGAGAGCCGTCGGAAGGGTGTCTCGGGCTGCGCGGGAGCGTGTTGGGTCGTTCTTTACGTTCTGGGGGCTCCTTGGGGTCGTCTTGGGCTGCCCTTGGGCATCTTGGGGCCCCCCGGGGAAGCCGAGAGGCGCGGTACCGGCCAGATGTCAGGGCCCGTCCTGGGCCCGCCTCGAGCTTGTCTTGGGAGGCTTTTGGCAGTCTTGGGGCGGTCTTGGGATTCTCTTCGGTCGTCTCTGAGCGTTGGAAGCATGAACAATTGAGAGTATCAACAAGTTCTGAAACAAAAAAATGAGATTCAATGATCTTTGTTGCTCTCCAAGCTCTCTCGGGACGTCTCTCGGAGTTCTCTTGCAGTGTCTTGGAGGCTTCTGGAGGCCTCCTGGGAGGCTGGAGAGCCGTCCACAGACTGTTTTGGACTGCTTGGGAGCATCTTCGGCTGTTCTTTTGCATTCTGAGGGGTTCTTGGGGCTGTCTTGGGGCGTCCTGGAGCGTGTTGGGAGCTCCCAGGGAGGCCGGGAAGCGCGGTACCGGGCGCCTCTTAGGCAATTTCGGGGGTTTCTTGGCCCGTCTTGGACCCGTCCTGGAAATCTTTTGGGCGGTCTCGGGGCGGCCTTGGACCGCTGGAAGCTCGAAAACACGAGAAGGCCAAAGACATAGAAGGAACAATCCAAATCTACGATTTTGACATCTTCGGGCTTTCCCGGGACGCCTCTCGGACCTCTCTTGTGGCCTTCTGGAAGCCTGGAGAGCCGTTGGAATGGTGTCTCGGGCTGCGCGTGTTGGGCCGTTCTTTACGTTCTGGGGGCTCCTTGGGGTCGTCTTGGGCTGTCCTTGGGCATCTTGCGGTCTCCCCCCGGGAAGCCGGGAGGCGCAGTACTGGCCAGATGTCAGGGGATGTGTCGGACCCCCGAGTAGGAGTCCCACTTTGAAAAAAGAAGGATTTCTGGGAATTTCCTTTCTCTTCTTTCAATATCCTCGATCCTCGAGGGTTGGAAGCGGGAGAACGTGAGAAGGCGAAAAACGTTAGAACAACCATTGAAGATCAACGATTTACCCTCTTTGGGATCTCTCGGGACGGCTCTCGCAGCTCTCTTGGGCTGTTCTTGGAGCCTCGTCGGGGTCTTTTTGGGGCCTCTCGGGTATCGGGGGTGTGTTGGGGGCCTGTGGGGTCCGGAAGGCCTTTTGGAGGTCTCTGGACGCTTCCTGCTCCCGCTCTTGGGCCGATCTTGGGCCTGCTCTGGGGCTGTCCTGGGCGCCTCTTCGGCAGTCTTGGAGCCTTCTTGGCCCGTTTTGGGGCCGTCCTGATGGTCACTTGGGTGGTCTTGGGGCGGTCTTGGAAGCCTCTTCGGCGCTCTTGGACCGTTGGAAGCTCGCAAACGCGAGAAGCCAAACACATTGAACGAAAACCAATGCACATTTACGATTTTGGCCTCTTCGGGCCGTCCCGGGACGCATCTCGGACCTCTCTTGGGGTCTCTTGGAGGTTACCTGGGAGCCTCGAGAGCCGTCGGAAGGCTGACTTGGGCTGGGGAGCGTCTTGGACCATCCTTTCGCATTCTGGGCGCTCCTGGGAGTCGTCTTGGGCCCTCCTGGAGCGCTGCGGAAGCTCCCCGGAACGCCCAGGGGAGCGGTACCGGGAACGTCCCCGAGATGTGGCGGGGAGGTGTGGCACCCGGGGCCAGGGGGGGCGGTATTTATTTATTTATTTACTTACTTATTTGCATCTCTCTCTATATATATATAGATAGATAGATAGATAGATAGATAGATAGATAGATAGATAGATAGATCGATCGATATATATATAGATAGATAGATATATAGATAGATAGATATATAGATATATAGATAGACATATATAGATATATATAAAGATATATATATAGATAGATATATATTTATATATATATATATAGATATAGGCATATAGATATATCGATAGATAGACACACATTCTATTCCCACAGGTATACATCTTGCATGGAGAACGCCCCCCGGATGGCCCCCCCTCCCCATACCTTTTTCGACGGTACTCCCCGGCCCCGGGGCACCTTTCGAACGGACTTCCAAGCTTTCCCAACCAGCCGCCCGCGCGCCGAACGATCGGCTGAAACGCTTTTCATGGCTTCCCGACGGCCCAAGACGCTCGGGGACGGACGGCTCCCAAACGGCCCCACACGGGCCCACAAGACTCCCAAGAGCGCCGCGACATGCAACAATCAACGCTTTTCCGAAAATTTTGACAGATTTTGACGTTCTCGTCATTCCGGACATCCTGCATAGCCCAAGAGAGCCACAAGACGGCCAAGAGGGGCTCCAGAGGGTCCCTCAGGGGCCCCAGGGAGCTCCAAGAGGGCCATAGGAGGCCCCCTGGACGGCCGAAGAGGGCCCCCGGAGGGACCCAAGACGGCCCCAGCCCCCCAGGACGGCCCAAGATGGCCCCACGACAGCCCAAGAGGGCCCACAGCCGGCCCAAAGAGCCCAAACAGGACCCCCAAGAAAACCCAAGAGGCCCTCAGAATTTCCAGAATGCTTCTAAAACGACTGCCAGGAAAGCTTCACAAGGCTCCAAGAGGCCCCCGATTCACGATTCATCTAAGGACTTCAAGAGGCCCCACAAACAAACGCCGCCAGGCCCCGAGAAACACTACAAACGCCCGTACTCACGATCCATGTCAGGGGTGTGCCAGCATGGACGAGGCGGCGGGATGCGAACCTTGGCTCTAGGGCCGTCCGTACAACTCCATGTGGGGTACGATCCGTGTGAGGAGACAATCGACATACGCGGGGGGACGTGACTTTACGCGAATCCTCTGACTATGGTCGCCCATGAACTACACACATCTGGGACGCGATCCGTGTGATGGCTGTGCCGAGACGGGCGGAACGGCGCCGTGCGAATTTTGACACTGGACCCGCAAGTGGAGCTCCCGGGGGGACACCATGTGAACCCTGCCTTCCTACGGGGCCGTAGGATCATCGCTTGCACTTTTCTCAGCTCTCCCACAGCCCACTTCTCCTCCTCCCCTCCCCCCCATCCTCATCCTTCTTCTCCTCCTCCTCCTCCTCCTTCACTCCTCTCCTTCCTCCTCCTCCTCCTCCTCCTCCTCCTCCTCCTTCACCTCCTCCTTCGCTTCTCTCGCGCGGTTTGCAATACTTCGGCAATGGCGCTCTCGCCAATCTCGTGGCCGCATCCTGTTCCAAGACTCGCGCAACCACCCCAACACTGACCACACTCTCCAATACGAATGGTACTGTCGCCTCAGAGCCGGCCACAGCCCTCACTGTAGATAATGCTGCAGGTCGCGCACAAGCCCCATTCATGGATGGGATTGGCGCGCTCGCCCGAGCGCTGGCCACACCCCTGTCTGGGAGTCATGCTGCCGTCGGCGCGCTGGCCAAATCCTTCATGGAACGCGGGCGTTCATTTCGCAGCGCCAGCCACGCCTCTCATTGAGTATTGCGATGCCGCTCCACTCGCACGGCTCCCACAGCCCTCACGCCCGAGCGCCAGCCACATCAATTTCTAAGGTTTGTGCAACCGCCCCAGCGTCGGCCGAATCCGTGTGTGAGACTGGTACTCTCGTTTGAGCCTCGGCTACATCCGTCTCTTGCGAGCGCCGCCTCCGGCGTGAGACAACTGGCGACCGCAGTTGCCGTCCCTTCGTGCTGGACGAGTGCCGAAGCTGGCGTTCGGTTTGGACGGAACGCGTCGGGTTTGTTGCCGATCGGGGCTACGCCAGGTTAGCCCCCCCAACGGCAGGTTCGGGAATGGCTCGTGGCAGCACTGCGGCTACATCAATATGCTACCACAGAGTCAATAAGACATGCAGGTGCAAGGATCAAGGTTAGAAGGCGAAACGCAACGAGCCTTAAGCTCTGGTGTATATATAAGTGTGTGCATACACATATGTGTATGTATAAGTATGTATTTTTGTTTATATGTGTGTGTATATATATCCATCTATATATGTGTGTGTATTCCTCTTCGTGTGTGTTTACAAGCCGGCGGGGTGGGACCCCTCCCCCCCAAAACCAGACCTCTAAGGTCCGGGGCTTCTGGGCCCCCGGGACACCGTTGCCAAAAGGTTCCCCGGCTCGTCCCGGACCTCCCAGGGCGCTTGGCCTGGTCTTGCGAGCAGACCCCAAACGATCAGAGCGGTGATCAGAGAGGCCGAAGAGAGATCCAAGACAGCACAAGAGCGCTCCAAGAAGAACCCAAATTGCCTCCAGATGCCCCGAAAACGGCCCAGGAGGCCTTGAACAGGACTCCCAGAACGCAGAAATCGTCATTCCCTTACGGAAACGTGCATGTTCAGCATATTCGCTGTTCAGGTCTCAGCAGCGTCCAAAACAGCCAAAAAAGCATCCTGCATCGCCCCAAGACGGCACAATGACCCTCCAAAAGAGCCTCTTGATGGCCCGGATGGCCCCAAGACTGCCCAAGGAAACCCCACATGGGCCAAAAAGAAACCCAACGGGCCCTCACAAGGCCTCCAAGAGGAGCCCAAGAAGGCCATGGGAGGCTACCAGAAGGGTCTGGAGGTATCTTCGAACGGTTTGGTGGGCTCTTGGGCCTTGCGGGCGGGCGGGCGGCGCTCCGCCCGCCCGCGCGCAGGGCCCAAGAGGAGAGTCCAAGACGTCTCTTGGAGCCATTTAGGAGGAGATCGATCAACGAAGGAGGGTCCCTCAACTTGGCTCGCCCCCCAGGAGCTCCAAAAATCGTCTCCTGGACCCCTCTTGGATCGCTCTTGGAGGCCCCCAGGAGGGCCCACGTAGCCTCCGTAAGGTCCCTGGAGGGCCCCAACTCCCCGACGCGGCCCACGATGGCCCCCCGGACGGCGCGAGAGGGCCCCAAGCCGGCCCACCAAAGCTCCGACAAGACTCAAACAACGTCAGGAGCGCTAAAGAGGGGGGTGTCCAAGAGGGGGGGGTGCAAATCATGACCGGCGGCATGTGCGCGGCCCAGCGGGGGGGCCAGGGACGTAATGAAAAAAGAAGATGTTGTCCCAAACCAACAGCGGCCGCTGTTGGACAGACAGCCTTCTGTCTCGAATGGACACAGGCCGCGGCGGCGTGGACAGCGAGTCCTGTTCAGAATGAACAGGAACTGCTGTTGGGCATCGTACCCATTCTTTCGGTACCCATGTCGGGCGTCCAGAGACAAGACTCAAACAACGTTTTTCGCCAAACTGACCCGGATCCCGGGTTCGCAATCATATTCCCCGGGCATGGAATCTGTTGCGAAACTGGGATTCGAAGCATTCCCCAAGAAAAGCTCACTTCCGCGAGCCCCCTGGCGACCCGTTGCAGCATGACATCCTCGGCTCGGCATTGTTATGTACTTTGCGGCATTGTTTTGCATTGCGTCGGTTTACTTGGCATTCGCTCGCATGGCTTTCCATTCCTTCGCATTGCGCACGGGGGCACCTGAGCCACCAGCGGGCCAATGTGCGGGCCTACGAAGGCCTTTTGTCTTCCTCTACTGCCAAACATATCTGCAAGCGTGTCCGTACACATGAAGCCGTAGCCGTTGGCTTACTTTTTTCGGTCGCCGTCCCCCGACGGCGCCATCTCTTCCCCTCCTCCTGCTCCTCCTCTGGGCCCTTTTCCTCCTGATCCTCCTCCTCCTCCTTCTCCTCTTCTTTCTGCAGCTCAACCACTCGTCCTCTTCCACATCCGCTTTCCTCTCCTCGCTCCCCGAGGTTCCATCCATCCGATCCTTCGCCCTCCACCCGGCGCCTTTCGGAAGACCCAGGAGGCCCGAGAAGGGCCACGGACCGCCCGAACTTTCAAAGACTTCCGAAAACCACCGCAGGGACAGGGCCAAATTTCCAAGGCCACTCGGGATGGCGCGAACGACCAACATAAGCAAAGCCTCAAGGACCAAGGTGCACGGCGCGAAGCGCCAAAGCAGTCTTGTATGTACGTATCTAGTTAGATATCTATATATGGATGTATGAAGCAGTATTTCGTTAATAATTTATACAAAGAAAGAGAGAGAGAGAGAGAGAGAGAGAAAGAGAGAGAGCGAGAGCGAGAACGAGAGAGAAGAGGGAAACAGGCGGATCATCTCTCCTCCTCCTCCTGCCTCCTCCTACTCCATACTCCCTCCTCCTGCCAGAGAAAGAACGGGCGGGAGCACGGTGCTGCCCCTGAACTCCGCCCGGATAGTCGTCTGGATAATCTGGTCCGTCTGGCGGGCGCGCTCCAGACACCTCCTCCTGGCCCTTGTCCCGTGGCCCCCACCCCCTCCTCCTCCTCCTCCTCCTCCTCCTTTCGAATATCCGCCGACCCCCGCAGTCTGGGTTGCCCCCGGACCCTCGAAGATATGCGGGTCCCCGCTTGCCGGGAGTGAGAGGGCGTGTGAGATGATTGGCTGTCTCCCTCCCCCTTTCCCCCTCGGTCCAACATATCTGGTTTATGAGGGGGGGAGGTGGGGGGGTATCCCAGCTCACCAGCGCACCCGCGGAGACTCCAGAGCGTGGCCTCAAAGACGTTCGAAGACAGTTCCGAATCGCGGAACGATTGGCCCAAGACGCTTGCGTTGGCTCCAGAACGCCCCAATACGCCTTCGAGACGCCCAAAGGGCCTCCCCAAGAGGGCCCCGAGAGGTACAACCAATAATTTCCCTTAGGTCTTTCACTGTCCCTGGGGTTCTCGTCCTCTTCCGACGCGCCAAGACGGCCCAGGAGGCCCCGAAGACCGGCCCAAAACTGCCCAAGAGGCTCCTGCGAGGGCCCCAGAACGGATTCCAAGACGGCCCAAAGAGGGGCCCAAGGCGGCCAAAGATCGCCCCAAGAGAGGCAAAAAAGGGAGAACGCGAATCGAACATCCTACCTTTCCCCCCCCCCCAAAGAGGCCACCCTGAGGCCCTACGAAGTCCCCAACCAGCCCGAAAGAGGTCCCAAATAAGCCCCAAGGGGCCCCCAAGAGGCCCCCGAACGGGCCCCAGGAGGCTTCAAAACTGTCTCCAAGAGGCTCCGCCAGGCCCCCAAACAGCTCCCAAGACGCCCACAAGAGACCACAGACAGTGCCTAAGAAACCCACGACGCCTCAACCGTGGGCTCGCCGCCTCTTCTGGGGGTCGGCGGAATGGTGCAAGCCTCTTGAATGATTGTTTTGTTGAAAACGTGTCAACTGTTTTGGCATATTCTTCCACCTTCGGGGGCCTTCGAGAGACGCCAGGGACTCATGAGTGTAGGGAGCCGGGTCAGCAACAAAACTCACCACTCCCTCTCCCTCTCCTCCTTTGTTTCGGCGTCCCCCTTCGTTCCCTCGGCTCGCCTTTTCGCCCCTTTCTCCTCCTCCTCCTCCTCCTCCTCCTCCTCCTCCTGCTCCTCCTGCTCCTCCTGCTCCTCCTGCTCCTCCTCCTCCTGCTCCTCCTGCTCCTCCTCCTCCTCCTCCTCCTGCTCCTCCTGCTCCTCCTGCTCCTCCTGCTCCTGCTCCTGCTCCTCCTCCTCCTCCTCCTCCTCCTCCTCCCACCCCTTCCTCTTCCCATCCTCCTCCTCCTGTCCTTCTGCCCCTGCTCCTCTCCTCGCCGGCATCGCCTCAAGCGTCGTCGCTGGCCCTGCCGCGCGCCGCCCCAGCCCCCGACGCACGCCCGGTGGCCCTGGCGATGGCCTCAGGGACGGCCTCGGCAGAGCGGGTCTGCCGCCGAGGCGGCGCGCCACCGCTGAGCCGCCCGCGCCGAGGGGGGCCCCGGGCTGAGGGTTCGAGCGCAGCCTGGGGCGCAAGGCTTCGGCGGGGGGGGCCCTGGGGGGTTGGCTGGGCCTCTCCCTCCTGTGACGAGAGGCAGCTGCGCGCCACGGCTATGCAGACGTGAGCTGATCTGATGTGTTATTTCTGCTGTTTCTGTGCCGTCGTCCTCGCCATCACGCATCCCAGCGTAATGCGCCGGTCTGTATCTGATCTATCTTCCTGTCTGTATCCTCTCCCCTGGGCTCAAGCTGTTCCTCGGTGCCCCAGTGCCCAACGGCTTCGCTCCGCCTGGGCTGCCTTGGGTCGCACCGGTGGGGCGCCGTATTCGCGCGGCGCCCGCTTCCAGGAGGAGAGCAGTCACTTCGACCTTTTGGGCGGAGTCGAGGCGGCGGGCTGGCGCGAGGAAGGGGCAGGAGCCGAACGGGCGTCTCGATGATGCCAGCGGTCCTGCCCATGATCACTGGCACGTCGGATGGCCACCACGGGACACAGCCGCTGGGTGGGCCCGTCGCATCGTCGATCCACGCCAGCTCTGCTGGGCTCCGCGGGCGCAGGGGAGGCCCGCGGTGTCGTCGCGCTGGCCCAGGGGCTGGCGGCTGGTACGCGCGCTGGTGGCGGCCCCTGGCATCCGACGATGCGAACCCCACCGGCCTTCTGAGCGTCGGTGGCTTCACGAGTTTGGGCAGCTCTCTGCCAAATCCCTCCTTCCCCTTCTCGAGGGAGGGGTTCACCATTGTTCCCTATTAGTGAGCACTCCCTCCCCCAGGCGACCGGCAGCCAACCCGGACCAATGAGACTCCCCCCCGCCATCCCTGATACGAAACAGTTCAACATGTACTTTGCCTCCAAATCTGCAGAATGCGCGGGCGCCCTGCGACCACTGTCTGTTGGTTTGTGTCAGCTTGCTGCGCGAGGGCCAACCATCCCTGTTAACAAACAATGCAACATATACTTTGCCTCCAACTATGGAGCGCGCGCAGGGGCCCAGCGACCAGTTCGCATCGGTTTTTGACAGACGCCTTGCTGGCCGCGCCGCCACGCCTGGGCCTCCAGGGTGCCCAGTGCACTTGGAACCCATGGCGCACATGGCATGTGTGGAATGCCTAGGCTAGGCAGCATGCGGAGACTTCGGTGTTACTTATGTGTTGGGAGGGCGGGTGGGAGTGAGCGAGACAGCTGCCAGGCAGGGGGGGTCTTGACCCCTCCCCCTCCCTCTCCCATGGGCCTGGGAGGGGGGTGGGCGCGACCCAGTGGAGCGCACAAGATGGCCCAAAATGTTTCCAAGTGGGCCTGAGAGGGCCCAAGATGGCCTCCAAGATGACCCAAGATAGCCGAGCATGGTTCAAGATAGTGTTCGACATACGTCAAAGAGGCTTCAAGGCAACCCCAAGACGGTTCCAAGTGTCCTTCGAATATTCCTAGGCACCCTCACGCTTTCGCTTCCGATTTGCTTTTGAAGCCTCCAAGTGGCCCCAAGGCGGCCCAAGAGATGCCCAAGATGGGCCAAGAGGGCCCCAAGAGGGCCCCAAGAGCGCTCAAGAGCGCTCCAAGAGCGGCCCAAGAGGCCCCAAGGCGCACTTTTGAGTCTCCGAGGGGGGACCTGAATTCCGGATCCCCATTCTTGTTGAACCATCGGGCCCAAGAGGCCTCCCAGATCACTCCAATGAGCCCCGAGAGGGTCCTGAGACCTCCAAACTGAGCCCCAAGAGGGTTCCACCAAGAGTGCCCCAAAGGTGCCCCACGGGGGCCCTAAGAGTGCCCCTGAGATGGCCTTAGTCGTCCCTGAAGAATTTCTCACAACAACATGTCTCCAGAGCCCGACTTCTCATCCTCCTTGTCATCGTCCGTTCCTTCCCTCCTCCTTTCCTGCACCCATCCCTCCTCCTCCTCGTCCTCCTCCTCGTCCTCGTCCTCGTCCTCGTCGTCCTCCTCCTCCTCCTCCTCCTCGTGTCGCAATCCTCCTCGAAGGGTGAACTTCGTTTCGTATGGTCACTTCGCAATTTAGCATTACGAGGTTTTCGTGCGCATTCTCTCGATTTGACACTTGTGGAGGTGAACCATTCACACTTGTCATTGTGCAGGCGGCGGATTTCAGATTCCCTTCGTGGCCTGGCGCGGGCGGCTGTTGTGAGAGCTACTGAACGCCTCTGGTGGGTGGATTGTGGCTCGGCAGTGAAGCTCGGTTGGATCCTGTCTCACCGTTCGCCCAGCCGTTGGCTTCCAGCGGCGTCAGGAGACATCACTCGTATACTCGGGTCGGCCTGCGCTCTCTACGGGAAAACTCCGTCAGTGATGACTGTGAGTCCTTCATGTGCAACTTGCTTGGTGCCGCTCAGAGTTTGCAGCGTCCGTTGGTGGGCAGTTTCGGCACGCCTCTCCATGGTCATGATCGGTTCTACCCTGGCGGTGAGGAACCTGAGATAACGGTGAACGCATTGTGGGTTTCTTGTCGTGGGGGCCGAGGAACCTGAGACAATGGTGACCGTTCCATGACTATTTTGGGGAGGGCAGGCGAGTGCCGCAGGTACGTTCCGTTCGAATCCCGACTCTGTGAAGGGCTCCGCTCCACTCCACGCCGTGCCCAGACCTCCGAGGACTTACTGTTTCGAGTCGCCAGCCCCCTCCACCTGGGGCATTTTGTTCGTCCCGCATGGTTCTTGTTTGGGCCCGGGCCCCCCAGAAACTGATCCTGGAAGACACAGTAGCAGAACAAACGACCGACCTTTCTCTGGTCTGACTTTGTCCGAGTCGCCAGAAGCCTGGGTCAACACACTCCTTGTCGTCCCCTCTATTCAGAGTATGGCGAGTTGAAAAAAACTGCACTTTAAAATCGCTTCCTGGACGCCTCCCAGGGTTCAAACTCACCAATTTCCCGAGCTGCATCCAACAATGGCAACGAAAGTTCCCCCCCCTCCGACGGCCCACTACCGTTGTCTCAACTCGCCCTCCTCTGATCTACCTCGCCAAGGCCAGCGACCGTGCGACAGTCGAGGGGGCCTCCTGGTCAATGCTGGCGGTGGCCTCGTCGAGCAGCACCAGGCGCGAGCGCCGCAGCACGGACCTCGCGAGGCAGACCAGTTGGCGCTGGCCCACCTGGCGGGAATAGCGGAGGGGGGGGCCCCACGCCTGGACACACAGGATCAAGATGATGAAGGGGAAAACGAGGAATAATACGAATAACAATAAGAAGAAGAGTGAACATAGTAACATTACTAATGACAAACATACTTACAATAATAACGATCAACATACGAATACTAACAACAATGATGCCCAAACCTCTCCGACGAACGATGAGCCGTGCCGTGACGGCACATCGGCTGCAGTGCATGTGGACTGTGTGAGGCAGAATGCGCCCTCATGATAGCGGCTCGCCTGCTCTGCGCCCGCGGGACGGGACAGGGGGGAAGGAGGCGGAGGAGGAGGAGGAGGAGGAGGAGGAGGAGGAGGAGGAGGAGGAGGAGGAAGAGGAGGAGGAGGAGGAGGAGGAGGAGGAGGAGGAGGAGGAGGAGGAGGAGGAGGAGGAGGAGGAGGGGGGGGGGGCCGAGCGAGGGGGGAGGCATCTCGCCTCCTACTCTCGTCGCCCAGTGTCCCAAGCCTGGGAGCCACTTCCGGGCTTCAGGGCCCGGTGCCTGCCCGTGGGGCCCACTGCAGAGGATGATCAGTCAGGAGCGAAGGATTGCAAAAAAACCTAGGATTGCAAAAAAAAAAAGGATTGCAAAAAAAACATGTTTTTTTGTTTTCTTGCAATCCTGTTTTTTTTTGCAATCCTAGGGTTTTTTTTGCAATCCTTCGTTCAAGGGGGGGGGGGGGAACAGCAGACTCCGTCCGCTGCCTCCATTCCCTTTCCGCTCCAGGCCTCGGGCCCCATGCCCTCTGCGTCAGCGTGGAGTCGTGAGCTGAGCGAACCAAGTCGCAAAATCAACCGGGCTTCGAGTCGTGAGAGTCTGTTGCACGTGAGATACTGGGGGGGCTCGACCGCAAGACACCTTCCACAGGAAACCCAACCCTGAGACCCTGGGGCGTCCACTGATTTTTGGTGTGGGCACGTCACGCTTTCCGTCGCAAAACCATCGAAACTCAAGAAACCCAGGGCACCCTGGAGGCAAGCAGGGTGTTTCTTGGCATGGGCCTCCACTGTGCACGGCAAGTCTCCTCCGAAATGGTACTGCGCATAGCCGGCGGACGCTTTCTGCAGGCCCCCTCTCTCCTGTCCCTGCTGTGTGTTGGTGGGAACGCAGAGGCGGGATGCACGAGGGGGAGGGGGGAGGGGGGAGGGGCAAGCTAGGTGCGCTCGCGTCATATCTGACATCCTACCCCTCCCTCCCATCCCTTACCATGGCGTAGATCCCCTCTCTACTCGCACAGTCGGATGTCGAGCAGGGCAATGATCCCGAAAGGGTACGCGATGCATTGTAGAGCACGGCATGGCATGGCGTAGAAGAGCACCGCAAAGCGTAGTATCAACCTAGCATTGCATTGCATGCCGTGGCATGGCACGGGAAATGACGCCAGCGCTGCAGCGGGAGCACGAGTCGAAACGAGCGGAAGCGCGGAAATGAGGCCAACGCTGCAGCGGGGGCACGATTCGGAACGAGCGGAAGCACGGAAATGAGGCCAGCGCTGCAGCGGGAGCACGATTCGGAACGAGCGGGGTGCGAAAATGAGGCCGGCGCCTCAACGAGAGCAGCATTTTGAAAACAAATGCAGGCGAAAACCTAGCTCCGGGGAAACCTGTGTGTAAAAAACAGTACGCGGGGGGGGGTCGAGCACTTTCAAACCGTCATCAGGGGAAGAGGGAGAGTAGTATTCATATTGAGTAATTGTGGAGGGAGGAGGGATGGGGATGGGTGAACTAGGGAACGGGGCGGGCGCCGGACGCGCCGTGCCTCGTCCTCGCCACTAGCTGCACGTCCAGCTGCGTCGACTCCGTGGGTCGCTAGTTTGGGGTCTCCGGCATGGCAGGCATCGCGTACCACGGTGATTTTAGATGATTCTCCTCGCGGCGTTCACTCCACTCGGTGGTGCGAACATCAAACTGTACGAACAACGATCAGAACGAGCTGGTCTTTGTTAATTCATTCAACCGCGGGATGCGAGATTCCCGTTGCGCCAAGGATGAGCTCCGATGGCATGATCTGCCCACTCGCTTGTCCCCCACAATGGCCCAAAACTACTCCAGATTTCGTAATAAAATGGAGGGGGTCTGGACCCTCCAAGACAAGCCATTTCAGACCTCCCCCGTGGGAGAACCCTCCAAAACATCGTCCCCAGACCCCCCAGGCCCTCCAAGATAGCCTGGAAGAGACCCCCCCCCGAAATGAGACCCCCCTCCCTTTATTACGAAAGCTGGAGTACCCCAAGAAAACCCCGGTACGGCCCCCAGGCTGCCCGAGAGTCCAAGACGGCCCAAAGGCCCGCCCAGGCGTCGCCAAAAGATGCGTCCGCCGAGCCTCTTTGGGAGGGCTCGGCAGAGCCGTGGCGCCCCAAGACAGCCCCGACGCTCCCGACGGGCCTCAAGAGGTTCCCCAACAGTGAAGACGCCCTGAGACACACAGATAGATACACACAAATAAAAGGATTCCCCATATCTTCCCATATTTTCCTGGTTTGTGTCTTCCCCCCCACTTCCCATATTTTCCCATATTTTCCTGGGACTCGACGATTAATTGTGTCTGTGTGTTTTTTCCTTCCTGAAACAGGTCCCCAAGAGGCACCCAGGAGGACTCCAAGAGGCGCTGAGCTGGAAGAGGTCAGAAGCCTTGTCCCCTTCCTGCTGCGCTGCTGCGCTGGAGTGGCGACGGGGCTTGCCGCAGGAAGCTGGAGATTGTTTGGTGCATCATTATCGGTTGTGACCTCTTGCTTTTGACATGGGTGTGCTGAATCAAAGCAGTACTCCCGCAGAACAAGGACTGTGTGCTTTGGTGGTGATGATGGAACGCACCTCATGGTTCTGTAATGTGTCGAGGTTTCTCGAGTATGGCTTCTGGATTCTCGAAAAGACTTGTTCAACACTGACTTGCACACGAAATGCAAAGTTCAGCATGCCTGGAGAGTGCAACCAAACATGCCAAGCACACTTAGATACTAGGTCCACCACAACACCTGGACAGTCGAAATGCATACTAGCTGAATGCTGCTGCGGCGCCACACGTCCAGTCGAAGAGAAGACTACTCAATCGAACGCATCGGCAATCATGCAATAGGCAACAAACACGTGCATTCGGCTCGTGGTGCTCATTCCTTGGGCCTTGCAGCATCTTTCCCCATGCTTATACACATCATGTTGTTGAATATTGATGTGTATACATGTACGGCACGTAAAGAACTCCTCGAATCAAAATGTTGACATCTCTGGGCCAGCACATTTCACTTCCGCTGGCCTTCCGACAACAGGCCCCCGCCTTTCCCTACGCTGCCGCCAGCCCTCCGCTGCCCTCCGCCGAGGCAGATCATGCAACGTCCCCATCCCTGAGAGGCGAGGCCGCTCCTGGAAGGCCCCAGATGTGTGGACGAGTGGCATGTGCGTGCCCGGGCTCGTGCAGCAAATGATGCAGCATGTGTGTAGAACAAGAAATCATGCTATAACCACACAAACTTTCGGCGCTCCGCGCGGATTTCTTGGCTCTGCGCCGGACACCCCTCCCTGGCGCGCGGAGCGCGCCCCGGGCGGCTCCAAGAAACCCGCGATGAGCGCCAAAAGTCTGTGTTAGGGCGTTGTCTTCCTCGAAGTGTGTGTGTGTGTGTGTGTGTGTGCGTTCGCACCACTTTCCCTTCGGGCGCCTGCCACCTTGCTCGTTGGCCACGGGGAGCCTCGTCCACGTCCGCTCCGGCTGCGCAGCCCCTGCGCACTGCGTCTTGCGCCGGTGGGGTGCTGCCGATCCCGCGTCTGCTCCCGCTGCCCAGGCCCAGGCACGCGGATGGCACGATCGAGCCATGCTCGGGTCCCCGCCTCACCATCTGAGGCGCTGGCCGCGCGCGCTCTCTCTGCTCTCTCTGCTTGACCTGCTTCGCCTCGTCGCTGCGCGCGAGACCGCGGCGCCAAAAGTGTGAGTGCGTGTGTGAATGTGTGTGTGCGTGTGTGTGTGTGTGTGTGTGTGTGCGTTTTGTGTGGCTCGTGTGTGTGTTTGTATGTGTGGTGGGTGCACCGTGTCTTTGCGCTGTTTGTTAGGTGTGGGTTCTGTATGTTCAGTGTGTTGTACATGTGTTGTGTGTTGAATGTTGTGTGTTGTGTGTGTGTGTGTTGTGTGTTGTATGGTGTCGTGTGTGCGTTGTGTGTTGTGTGTTGTGCGTGTGTGTTGTGAGTGTTGGTTGCTCTGTGCGTTGTAGGTGTTGTGTGTTCTGTGTGTGTTATGTGTGTTGTGTGTGTTGTGTGTTAGGTGTTGTGTAGGTTGTGTGCTGTGTGTGTTGCCGGTGTGTGTGTGTGTGTTCAGTGTGTGGGTTGTGTGTGTCGCGTGTGTGTGTCGTGTGTGCTCTGGGTGTTGTGTTTGTTTGTGCGTGTGCTTGTGTGTTGTGTATGACGTGTGCGTTCTGTGTTGTGTGGGCTGTATGCTCTGTGGATTGTGTATGTTATGTGTTGTGTGCGCGTGTGTCTTGTGTGTATGTGTGTGTATCGTACGGCGGAGCTCGATTTTGCCGTTGTGTGTGTTTGACGATTTTTTGTTAAACTTGTTGAAGGATGCTGTGCTTTTGGACCGTGACGTCGCGATCTGCGTGAGGGGTGCGTCCGATGTTGAAATGGTTGAGGACTTCCCAGCGACACGGCTAGAAAAAGAAGCATGGCGACAAGTATTCGCCTCTTAGCTTTGCTCCCTCAGGAGGGTGCGCATGAGCAGACACACGCACACACATATACACATGTGTATAAGTATATATATATATAGATACACGCACACATACATATGTATATACCATAGAGACCTTACACCTGAACCAATCCCGTAGTCGATGAGCGGCATGGTGTCTCTTGGAGTGCCTTGTTCGACTCCCTGGCCCCGCGACACCCTCGGGGATCTTCTGACCCGGGTCAATCCAGACCCTGTTCAGCAAAAAACCGAAACAGCTGCAATGCAAGAAACAACAATTGCAACGCAGGGCTTCGCAAACCCGGGTCAGCCAACATGCGCGGCCGCCTCGCGGCCACGAACGGCTCGCTGACCCGGGTCGGCCAGAGGAGGTCTTCGCAGGATCCTGCAGGATTCGGTACCCTTGCTGACCCCCGTTTGCATTGACCCCCGTCTCCTGAGCCCCGACACCCTTGGGCGTGGCTTAATGGGGGGGTCACAAATGGGGGGGTCAGAAAAGGTCCCCTTTCGTGCCCCTTTTGGGCCCCTCCAGAGCCCCAGGGGGCTCGTTTAGGCACCGTTTGGGTACCTTTTCGGACCACCCTCGCCACCCCCCCATTTATGACCCCCCCATTACGCGGCGCCCGACACCCCAGCGCGAGGCAGGCTCCGGGGCCGCCGAGAGGTTGGTGCCGCCCTCCGCGATGCGGTGGTCCAGGCCGCCCAGCGCCTCGACCTGGCGGCGAGCGGCGTGAGGGCCGGCAGGGGGCCCGGGGGCCAGGCACTCGGAGCGGCCGGGGCGGGGGCGGGAGAGGCACGGAGAGGACCGCGATGAGGACGGCGAGGTGGAGAGCGAGGCCGCACGGTGCACATCGGAGGAGGAGGGAGGAGGGTGAGGAGGGGAAGGCGGATGAGATACGGAGGAGGAGGAGGAGCATGGACAGGCTCGTGGACTCCTGCCGGAAACGCCTGCCGACCAGCCTCTTGCCAGCTCAGCAGATGTCACATGAGGAATCTGAGTTGGGTGTCTACGCACCCCACAGAGGCGATGAATTAGACCTGCTGCTCTCCGCTGGGTGGGGCGCAGGCCAGGCTGGGGAGCCCTGTGCCGTCGCCCAACCGCTCGAGGGTCCCAGCTCTCAGGCACGAGCCCCCCCCCCCCTCCCTACGACCCACATCTGCGGTAACTCCGCATTAGCATACGTGTTCACCTCCTGGGCGTCGTCTTCCGCCTCCTCCTCATACGGCTCCTCCTCCTCCTCCTCCTCCTTCTACCTCGTCGTGGTCAGCGTCGTCGTCTTCAGGGTCGGCGGCACCGGCCGCAAGGCCTTCGCAATCAAGTAGGCCTCATCCTGCAGCAGGACTTAGAGGGCGAGTCTGAAGAGAAGGAGGACGAGGAGAAGGAGAAGGAAGAGGAAGAGCGGGAACAATGGAATGCGAGCCCTCCCCCGCGTCACGCTGCACCGCGCCTTGTTCTGGCCTCGGTCAATCCGCGCGACCGCGGGGCGGCGGCTCAGCCGGGCAAGCTGGGCGCGAGGGCGCCGGCGACCGTCTCCCAGGCCAGTGCGCTGCTGAGCAGTCGGCCATCGGGCCCTGCCAGGGGTCCTGGGGCCCAGCCTGCCCGCCTGATGCTCCGCCGCCAGCTGGCCGTAGACGTCCGTCAGGAGAGCGGAGGGCCTGGCCCCGACCCTGCAGCGCTCGGCCCCACCGAGGGTCAGAAACCGCATCGAGTCGCCGTCAGGCGATGCCTGCAGGAGCAGCGCTGGAAGCAGGTGCGCCGCGTAGGTCAGGCCCCCCTCCAGCGCCGGGAGGTCGCACTGACCGTCAGCATGGCAGCCGCAGGCCACGGCGCTGCCGTCGCTCCTGAGCAGGGCCGTGTGGTGGCTGCCTCCAGCCGCAACCTGCGTGTAAGTCAGGCCCTCCGCCAACGGCGGGAGGTCGCACTGACCGTCAGCATTGCAGCCGCCTGCCACGGCGCTGCCGTCGCTTCTGACCAGGGCCGTGTGGCGCCCTCCAGCGGCGAAAATTAGCCACAGGCTGGGCGGGGGCAGCGCGAGGTCGAGGCGAGGCGCAGGGGCTCGGCGCGCACCTCCAAAAGAAAGATCCCTCCAAAACCTGGTCGCATGACACCTGACGCTTTCACCCAAGGGGGGGCGACCACCCAGTCTTTGTGATTGACGTTTCACCCAGCCTGGGCGACTGACGTTTCACTCAAAGGGGGGAAGGAGGAGGGGGATAAGAAGAAGGGAGGGGCGCTGCGGCTGCATGGCCATTTCCAAAGCCCTGAATCCCAAACCTATCATACCTTTTGGGGGCGACGTTTTCACTCCGCTGGCTTCCGCCCGCGGAACTGCCCTCGTTTTTCTTCCGCTGGCTTCCGCCAACCGTTTTCCGCTCTGCAAGACGTGTCAACTCCTTCGACCCGCTCGAGAGATGCCCTGCTTGGAGCGCCTCACGTGTCTCTTTCCCCCCTCGGGCACCGTCTGCAGCAGACACAACATGTTCTCTTCGCGTGCTGGGGCGGAGGATGACTCAAGCCGTCCATGCTTGCCAGCGGTAGCCTAGGAATCGGACAGACGCGATCATGACGACAAGAGACAGACCGAACATGACTCCAGCGACGCCCTTTGCACACATAGTATCAAAAAAGCCACGACACTTGTTTGCGCATACTGCTCGCCGCCTGGAACACGCGCGAGAGCGATAGAGCGACCGACGCATGTTGTGCGGCCGAATTTCGTCGGCCTCGCGCAACCATCTGGGGCTGGGGCCCTGTGCATCCGCAAAGGTGGCCGCAGAAGGCGGCACACACAACCATTGCAGACGGGCCCAGGAGCCCTGGTCAAGTCCAGCCCAAACGTCCTCTGCAAAATCATTCACGTGACACTGCGTTGTTGGTGCTGTTGCGCGAGCGGGGCCCGGTAGCTGGACAGGGTACCACTGGATGGCCCAGGAAATCGGAGTCTCGCTGCCGACGACAACCTGCACGGAAGCACCTCCGAAGTACCCGCTGGTCGTCATATTCTTCAGAACTCTTCCCTACATATAACTCCTCCCTGTCGCACTATCAGGCGTATCGGTAGGCAGGGCCTAGCGTTTCGCCCGAGACTTCTTTTCAAATGGCTCTCCTTCAGCTAAGACCTTGAACGGTTACACTGATGGATGGCCAGCGGTTTTGATAATGCGGCTCTCGCATTAACGCCTCGCACATGTTCTAGTTCCCTACAATGACAGCAAGGACGGAAGGCTGCTGGTTTTCAAACTGTGGCGCTCGCGCATAACCGTTCTCAACAACTCCCAACAACTACACGGATGGAGGGCCGATGGTCTCCTAAACACGGTGCTTGTGCTATTGCCGCGCACTTTTTCTAAAGCTTAAAACTGCAAGGATGAGGCTCGGCTCGCTTTCAAAACGTGCCCCTCGCCTGGGCTGCCTCAACTTCACAAACCAAGTTCCAAATTGTGCAACAGGAAGGCGGATGGAAGCCGACTGGTTTTCAAAATGCGGATCCCGCCTTAACGCCGCGCGCACTCGCTTTAAAGGCTTCAAGTTGCAACGATGTGGGCCGGTTCGTTTCCAAGTTCGGGGGGGGAGAGGTGGGGTGCTTCCCACAGTGGAGTGAGACACCTGCAGGAACTAATGTTGAAGGGACTTGGGACGGGAGGGTGTAATGCAGCATCGTTACTGCATCCTGGGTTTGGTCCTCCTCCTGCTCCTCCTCCTGCTCTTTTCTCCTCTCTGCTTTTGCTCCTCCTCCTCCTCCTGCTCATCCTCCTCCTCCTCCTCCTCACAATCATCATCATCATCATCATCATCATCATCATCATCATCATCATCATCATCATCATCATCATCATCATCATCATCATCATCATCATCATCATCATCATCATCATCCTTATCCTCATCCTCATCCTCATCCTCATCCTCATCCTCATCCTCATCCTCATCCTCATCCTCATCCTCCTCATCATCATTCTCATCATCCTCATCCTCATCCTCACCCTCCTCCTCCCTCCGTGCCTGGGCGCTCCTTCTGTTTTGCTCTTGCCTGCCTTCGTTACTCCTCGTTCCTCCTCGCTCTTCCTCCTCCACGAACACGTGCATAGTCTGTCGCCGTGTATTCGCTACACAGTCGAGCGCTTACAAACACTTGCAACGCGCATGTCAGGACAATCCCCGTCCAGGGGCACTTCAACATTCCGTGGGCTTCAGGAATCTCTGAGTCCCTATTCGCGCTGCCCGACGTTCCAATGCAAGAGGAACTGGAGAAGCCGGCCTGGATGCATGCCCCGTCATCCGAAAACCTGCCCGAGCAGCGCAAGGTCGCCCGAGCGGAGGCGGCCAAGCGGTAGCAGGCAGCGCCGTCGTGCTGCACCAGTTGGTGGTGCTGACCTCGGAGTTGGGGCTGTCGGACAGCGGGGCGCCCGCGGAGCTCACGAACACGGTGCACACGACGCACGACATGGACGCAGGCAAAATGCCCGGCAGTGGAGGACGCGGGGCGAGGTCCCGAAGCAGCCGACGGACAGGCAGAAGGGCAGGCGAGGTGGGCAACCACGGCGCGCGCCGGCCCCCCTTCGTCCAGGTGCTCGTGCAGTCCGCCCCGTGCGCAGCGGAGCACGGGAGCGCGGCAGAGGCGCCCGAGTGGGGCACGCTGCCGAAGGACGCGTGGCAGGGGCGCGCAGCTACGAGGGCGCCGGCAACAGGGGCCGCCTCATCTGCGCTACCGGCTCGGCCGCGCCGGTGGACATGGACCCTTTGAAGTGGATCGAGCAGATGCTCGTCGGGTTGAAGGCGGAGCGGAAGATAGGCCCTGCACCGAGGGGGCCACTGGAGAAGGGACACGAGCAGGCTCCCAGCGGAGTTGCAGGGCAAGTGAGATCGCAGAGCAGTAATGAGGGCCCCAGCGAGCTATGTAGCAACAGTAGTGCGCAAGAACCGGCGGCGCGACACTCTACGCAGACCTTCCCCACCGTAGGGGGGAACTGACTCAGGAGGGGGACGTTGACTTGGTATGGACGATGCATCGCTGATAGATCGGCGATACGCCCCCGATGGGGAATCCCACATTGCTGAGCGGGGTGGAAAGACCAGGCGCCGATCGCCGATGCATGGGGGTTTGGGGGTCGATGCTTCCCCCCCTGGGCCAATCAACCCCTGTCGTTGCCCCCGAGGAGAGCAAAGCCATGGGGAGTGCCAGGGAGGGCTCGTGCCAGCCGGACCCTCTGGGAGTACAAGGGAGGAGAGCGCAGATCTCCTGCCACAGCTCTACTAAATACGGCACCACATCTGTAGATCCGACTCCTTGATCCTCTTCCTCCGTCTCCTCCTCCTCATCCTCCTCATCCTCCTTCTCCTCCTCCTCCGTCTCCGCCTCTCTCCTCATCGAAGAATCCGACTACGGGGATCGCCAGACCTGGAATCGGTCGGGCCCATTGGGCTGCCGTGGTCTCCCGTGGCATCCCGTGGGGTCCCATGGCCTCCATCGTCGTAGTATCATTCGCCTTCGTGTTCGCATCACTGTCACTATTACTGTTAGTCTTGAGTTACACATTCGTAAACATGTCACTGTAATACCAATAGTGGTCGTATGAATCTTACGACGACATATGACTACGATTACGACTACGACTGCGGCTTCGACTACGACTTCGACTCCGACTTTGACTACGACTACGACTACGGGTACGACTGCGACTACGATTACGATTACGACTACGACGACTACTCGT